TCAAGGGTGTAATAAAATAGGTACTCTCGTAGTGTGTGTACCAGGTTAGGGTTAGGGCATAATTTCATTCCGATTTCTCTTATTTTAGTTCCATTACGTGTTCAAGGACTGGCCGTGTTAGCCAAGTGAATATACCCCTGCCCATAGGCTTCCGTCGCTTCACACAACTTGCTGTAAAGTAGGCAAACAAAACTAGTTGGTACACACCTGGAGTGCCTCAAAATCTTTACATCTTCGTAAGGAATAGCAATTTAATCACACCCTAGGTGAGGTGATGGGCAAAAGATTTTTTGCAAAATGTCTGAGATGTATTCATGAATAACCTACCTGGTCCCCATTTAATCATTTTTTGTAAAAATTTGATTTTCAAATGACAAAGGAATTTTGAAAGCAAACGTGTTCTGGTGACACGCTTATCACATAAAATATAGATAAGCTGTCAAGGTGTTGTGGACGGGAATTAATATTTGATGAGAATGTTTTGAGACGCAGATAAATATAAGCAAAGATGCATTAGCATAATTGGGGTCACAGGAAGTGATGACCTCATGATCCGTAGATTAAGATATTATATCATTTACAGGTAAATAAAAAATAATATTTACTTTACAGGGACAACGTATACAGAATAATTATCATTTAATAATTGGTTTTAACTGAAAGGGCTGAAACTTTAGAAAGCTGTTTCGAGAAAATGTGGGAAATGTATATTTAAGCGGTTAGTTTAAATAGTACCGGTACCTATTTTTTGTAATTTTCAAATAAAAGTTTTGCTTCGTTTTTCATAAAACTCTCGTTATGTAAACACAGAATGTTTGGCCTCGGATATGTTGGATATGGATATTGGTAAATATGGTAATTACTGTTCAGCCTCATCCCTACCAGCCCAGGCTGCTACAAATTGGTAGTCAATGCCAGGATGGAAATATTCTGGCCATCCTAAATATCTTCACAGTCCCTTGTTTAGACTGAAACATGTTGAAACACCTCTGTTTTTCATAAGGGATTATACCTTATACTATTAAGATAATATCAAGATAACTATGAAATTTATATCAGAAGCCAATTTATTATGAAAGCCTCATGTCCCCATGTGTGGAAACGCCCCAACGCAAAATATAACACTAAGTGTTTTTAAGATAACTATAAAATCTATATCCCACAGTCCTTCAATAATACTTATATATAACTTTTAAATCAGAAGTCAATTTATTATGTAAGCTCTGGTCTAGTAATCCATGTAAGTTAGATAGACTACAACTTCATGTACAAGGGATTTTAGGGATTAAAACAGAGGTTTAGCAGGACTAATGATGATTAAAAATGTGACAGATGCCAGTTTTATTGATTGAAAACTCATAACTTATGCTAGACATTGTAATGATATTGATTTTTTTAAAACTATGGGAACATTAGATTTATTCCGGTTGAATTATATGAAAAAAAATAAAATTATGAAATAGGGAGTTACATTACTGCTCTGAACAAAGCCCTGTACAAGTAGACAAGGTTTGCTATAACCAAGAACTTCCCAATTTAGGATAGGATAGGATTTACATATTTATCCCGGGGGAGAGGAAAGCTGATAAGACGGCTTATCCATATGGCGAACCACGGCCTCTCGTCCGGTTACCAGTCCATGTCGGGTATGGGATTAGTTAGTTACTTGTTTTTTGGAAGCATGGACTTGATGGTGGAGGAAGCCGTAACCGACCAGCGGTTATGTGAACCACCCAACGGCGGCGAGGAGTCCAGCAATCCTCTCGCACATAACCATCCTGCATTGGATTCGAACCTGCGAACCCACGCAGAGCAATTAGAGGTGCGATGGCAAGCGTATTCCTAACGCTTAGCACACTGAGCCACACCGCCGCGCCAATTTGTCAAAATTTGTAGGGGTTCACTTTCACACCATCTCTTTGAGTGAGCCTTTATTCCCAGTACATACTATTAGGAAGACTTTTATTTGATTTCAGAATACTAAAGTTTTTTTTAGTTCAACATCGTTTGCAATGAGTTCATGATTTACTATATTTAGGCTTTTACTGATATAAAGAGACTAGTTTTGTTAAGGGTCTGAGTATCCCCAGTGTAACGCCACTCACTCAATTTAGTCACGTCCTATTTTCTTTCAAAAATTCTCGCAGTACTTGAAGTTTTCTTGTGAGAAACGAACTACTTAAAAAGTACTTGAAATATTCATTATTCTAAGAGAAAAATAGTGAGAACATAACAATTATCTTTCAAAATTTAGGGGATAAGAGCCACTAAGAGAGGTGTTAAGTGTCCAAGAGATTATGCGCATAAACCGCCAACTCTAATTATGTGTGGGCGGCATACTTTTATTTAAAATTTGCTGTAAACAAATTGATATATTTTAACTTGAGTTGGAAAGTTGTAACTTTGAGCAAACAATCAAGTTGTAAAGTTGGTACTCCCGTAGTTTGTGTACCAGGTTAGAGTTAGCTTATAATTTTGTTCCGATTTTCATTCTTTTAGTTCTATTACAAGTTCGAAAACTGTCTTTGTTAGCCAAGTGAATATACCTTCTGCCCATAGGTTTCCGTCCCTTTACACAACTTGATGTAAAGTAGGCGAACAAAATTAGTTACCCTTCATATTGATACACATATTCTGGATCGCTGTAAAGTAAACATGAGTTGTAATGTTTTGCTCAAGGCAAGGCTTTTTACTTTTCGAAATTTCCCATCCATCTCCTATTTCTCACAGATAATATGTATTATTTTATAAAGGTGGAACCGGCAACTCTAATTACTGTATGTATAGGCGTCTAGGTGTTATTTCAAATTTGCTATGAAAAATGTATTTTAAATTGAGTTGTAAAAATCTAAATTTAAGTTTTCTCAAAGTATGGCTCTGTAATTATTGAAGTAGCTTGTCTTTTTTTTCTCACAGATGTGTAGTATTTTATAAAGCTGAAACTGCCAACTTTAATTATGCGTGGGCGACTCAAAAATTTGCTATGAAAAAAGATCATATATTTCAACTTGAGTTGTGTAATGTAAATATATGTTTGCCCAATACTATGGCCCTGTAATATTCAACTTCTTGAACAAAATTAACAAAGTCTTTTTCCGCACATAAAAGTGCTGAATACGGTTATCTGTAGATGACTTAGTTTTATCTCAAATTTACTATGAAAAATGTCTTATTGCTTACACTAGTTTTTTAATTCTGTAACTTTGTGTTTTTGAATGCAATGCACATAATCATTCCCTCGTGATTCGAACTGGCAAACCCACACAGTATAATCAAAGGTGACCGTACATTTGAACCCACGTGCATTTGAACACGTATATCCGCGGGTTCAATCTATATGCGGGTGCTAAAACCCATGTGTTAGGGTTAGTATGGGTTCAAATATCCGTAATACCAAAAAAATTCCCATAGGTGCAATAGTATGCAGGTGCAATTGTCGTGGGTTTTGGTTCATATATATATCAAACGATGATACATTACGTTCATTTCAACTAAACAAATTAATGTCCTTTAACAAGTGAAATGCGTGATTAAATATAAAATTTCTAACGAAATTATTGTATTATGAAACGCCAACTGCCTTATACGACACACAATTGATTTTTGAGGAAAAATGTAATGGAACCTAATCAGAGGTGTGGTGGCAAGCGTATTCCTATTTCATAGCACGATGTGCCATGCCAACGAGTCAAGCTACTCTTATAATTACATTTCGTCTTGATATGTATGTTCTCAATCAGAACTGTGGATCTTGAGACAGACCATTGAACCATTTATGGAGGAAGCCATTGAAATGGCAATTGGAACAATACATTCGTTTCTATTTTTTCAGCAGCGCAACAGCCTTCTTCGAAAGAGGTCATTTGAAAGAAAATTGATACTATAATATATCAAACTTATGCTGGCGCCCTCTATATTGAAATGGTCAATTGTTTGAATAAGCAATAAATACAGACTATACAAACATTTATATTGTTCCTTGAAATGTTATTATAATCCAGACTCAAGTTGTCAAAACTTGGATTTTATTGTTGATAAAATTTTTGATAATCTGCCATATTTCTTCAGACAGGATGTAATAAATTGCCTATAAGTCAAGAAGAGTGGTTGCCAAACTGTGTGCCATCGTGATTTGCAAAATCTTGCAAACATAGAAGTACTTGACTATGGTGACCGTACATTTGAACCCAGGTACATTTGAACCCATGTGTATATCCACGGGTTCAATCTATATGCGGGTGCTAAAACCCATGGGTTAGGGTTAGTATGGGTTTAACTATCCGTGAAACAAAAAAAAATCCATAGGTGCAATAGCATACAGGTGCAATTGCCATGGGTTCAAATGTACGTGGGTTCAAATGTTATGGAACCCTTGACTATATATCGGTGGATATTTCATTAGAGCCTAATTATGATAAATCATATGTCTACTACAAGCAATGTTAAACCGGAACCATAGCCAACTGTACCATACGATCCGATCATAAATAAAATTAAGGCCTAACCCTAACCTGGTACACATACTTCCGGAGTACCCTTTTACAAGAACCTAATATATTTAAAACGAAATCTAGGGCACCTAAATTGTTGAATTTGGCCTGGGCACATTTTTGCACATTTTTTGGACTTGCGAGCAGTTGTCCCTCTAAGGTGTGCGCGTGTGCGCGCGCACACAGCTTTCAGAGGCCACGCACACGCATAGATTTACTGCGCACAGACGTATTTCGATGTAATGTAAAAATGTGCTCGGTTGGCAGGTTGAGAAAGTTTGTTGTTGGCCCACTTATTACCCGGTTAGAACGCCAAAAAATTCTCCATTGGTTTTTGCACAAATATTAGTCATTTCCAAAAAAGTGCGCACACACCAAAATTCCTGCGCACACATACTACAAAAAATTAGAGGGAACATTGCTTGCGAGGTACTTTTGCACTCATAATTTCTTTAACGTAAACACTGTTATACCTTTTTTTCACAATACAATTTTTTTTTTTCATTTTAGTACCTGCTCGTTTTACCTCTCAAGTGTCTCAAGATCTTATTCTTGATGAAGGAGGAAAAGGTGCATTAACATGCATGGCCACAGGAAAACCGGAACCTAAAATAACATGGAGACATTTAGTGCCGTCAGGTAAATCACTTTTTGAGGTATACATTGTGAATGAGGTTTTGAATCGCATAGTAAATTATTCTTCAGTGAGCATCCAATGATAAGCGAAGTTATCCATTTAGTCAACCTTTTCTCTGTCAAGTACCCCCTCCCCCCGAGTCACGAAACTATCAACGCGAACACCCCGAGTCACGAAACAATCGACGCGAACCCCCAGTAATCAGACATCAAACTAAATTGTGATATATTGACTAACAATTTGCTGTACAACTGCCAAGCCGTGCATTTCACATTGTCGCGTCACAATCACAACAACGCAAGATCAGGGAAAATGTACGCTGAGTTTCAATTTGCATTTATTTTCCTCTTGTAGTTACTTTCTTTGTTGAAGGATATTGAAAAAAAGCAACACACGAAAACTCGACTGTCATCCAAGTACCCCTGGAAATCTTCCCAGGTTGAAAACCCCTAATTTAGGGGTTGGAATGTCTTGATAATTAGCAAGCCCATTTTTGTTTGCAGACTTTAGACGACTGCACCATATGGGTTATGTGCACCATAGCTGGTATATTTCTGTATCATGCATTTGTAGCTTGAAGCGCTTATTAGACAATCAAGACTGGGAAACTCTTGTTTTCCGAACCTGCTAGCTGTTATGGTCCAACTTGGCACTTTGACATTTCAGGCAGCTCTTTTGAAATCTCTTGGCTATGACCCTAGACCAGGGTGGTCCAAGATTGGCAGCTCTGCGGGCCACAAAATTACTTTTGCATTGTTCGTGAGCCACAATAGTGTCAAGAACTTTGCTTGTGTAACTTCGCTAGTTGCCTCAGCAAGCCATAACACTAGTCAATTCAGTGACATTAGTGATGCAACAACATGTCAAAGAAAATTTTGTTTGATTTCATGACGAAACAACACGAAATACGATTTTTTGACTCCTCTCCGAATGCGACGCGGGCCACAGATAATGAAGCGGCGGGCCACTGCCCTAGACAAAGGACCACTATCTTGGGAATAATACAAATCTTTATCCTGTAATACCATCATAGTTTGACCCAATGTTCTAACCACTAGTCACTTACTCAATTCTATTATTTTAGCGGATGGGAACAGAGGTACCGGGCCACATCTTCCATTGAGTGGGATAACTCGGGAAGGAGCGGGTATCTATGAATGTACGGCTGATAACAAGATTGCTGCTCCTGTAACTCATAGAATCAGAGTCATTGTTAGATGTAAGTACTTATCGTGGATCATTTATCTAACATGGTAGTTTTTAGAATGATCGAAAAGGTTGAATTGGTTGTGATTGCACCAAAATTTTGAGTCGGAGTTCTCTGCCTAACTGGAAAGTTTCACTTTTTTATATTATCCTAAATTATGCTTTTGAATATAAAGTACAGGATCTTTATCTGAAAAGTTGCTTTTTTCTTAAGTAGTTGATCGTTTTTGAATTTTCAGATGGAAAAAGAAGGCTGTTACTTATATTTTTCTTTCCAAACTTTGTTCTAGGGGCATATTATTTCATCCAAAATTTTTCTGGTTTCTATAATTTACAGCATTCACCATTCAATGGCATGACATTCGATACAATTGGATGCTGACATTGCAATGATCGTATTAGTCATTTCACTTTTTGAGTTCATTTACTTAGCATTAGAGCAGGGGTTCCCAAACCAGGGGTTCTGACCCCAAATTAGGTCAGAGTAATAAGTAGGTAGGGTCGCAAACAGGTCATGGGGTCGGTGGGCTTTCATTAAAATATATCTATATTGACCTGGGGTCGCACTGGACACTTGAAAGTTGTCTTTGGGGTCATCCTGAAAAAAGTTTGGGAACCCCCACATTAGAGCATTAGTCTCTTGTGATGGATATTTTTTTCCTATTTATACTGGTAGAGAAGAAAACGGGAATTGGCTTAATTATTGTTGATTGTTTCAATAAAAAGGCCAAATCAATCTAACTCATATCAGAAAATTAGCGGTGGCAATAAGCCAATAACTAGAAACAATTTTTCATTGTCATTCTGAGGAATACAAAACATGAAAAGATGGCATGAAAATTGCAACTGATAAGAGGTTTAGTAAGGTACAGGAATAGCTTTACAAAATAGGGAGAAAGTCAGTTACAGCTTCATATATCCCACACTCAACGTAATTTTCTGTGTGAAGATTTGATAAGTAGCATTTCTCATAGCCGGGATGATCTTACACAACATTATTAATAGTCTAATAGTCACCCAAAAGGTCCAGAGAACTATAACTGTACCGGGAAACCCTGGAATGAGAAATTTCATTGACTTTTCTCATCCCTACAATCTTGTCCTATCCTCGAGTTATTGTATTGCTTATTCTTTCACAGATCCTCCAGAACTAAATATGTATAAAACGGACAACGACGTCTCACAAGCTCTCGGTCAAGAAACGGTTCTGCAATGCACGACATCTGCTGTACCAGTGCCTTCTATAACATGGCATCACTCGGGATATGTGTAAGTACTCCACCTCCCTATCGAGGGGATGAATTTTGAGGGGATTTTTAGTGGCTCGGCAGTGTGGCGCATCGTGCTAAGCATTAGGAATACGCTCGCCATCGCATCTCTGAGTACCCTTCGTGGGATCGCAGATTTGAATCCCATGCGGGGATGATCATGTGCGAGAGAATTGCTGGACTCCTCGCCTCCGTAGGGTGGTTCATGGAGCCGCTGGTCGGTTACGGCTTCCTCCACCATCAAGTCAATGCATCTGAAAACAAATACCTGACGAACTAATCCCATACACGAACTAGACTGGTAACAGAACGAGAGGCTGTGGTTCGCCATATGATTAAGCCGTCTTATCAGCTTTCCTCTCCCCGGATAAATATGTAAATCCTATTCTATCCTGAAAGTCTGGCTAATTTCCTGGTTTGTAATTCTTCAGATTCTTGTATTTTTCTCCATTTCATGCCCCATGTGTCTTACGGGTACTTTTAAATTAAAAAAAAAACGAGTGATCTGGCACTATTATTAACAAAATTAAACACACCATCTCAGCCTTGAGATAAGATTAATTATTGGGTCAAAGCAATGTTTATCGATCGGAGGAGAATACTCAAAAGAGGGATTTGTTGTTTTTTAAGGAGAAAATAGAGAAATATCACTTTTGTATTTGATGTACTTCAGGATAGAATAGGATTTACATATTTAACCCGGGTGAAAGGAAAACCATATGGTGAACCACGCCTCTCGTCCGGTTACCAGTCCATGTCGGGTATGGGATTAGTTAGCCAGTTATTTGTTTTCAGACGAATGGACTTGATGGTGGAGGAAGCCGTAACCGATCAGCGATTATGTGAACCGCCCTACACTAGTATTGTTTACATTTATAGTGTTATATTATTTCTGTACATAATATTGAACATTCAAACTGTGCAAAATCCACTTTGCGAGTTATGTCACATTTCACTAGATAAGGATATTTTAAATATTGAAAAACAATATACCGTATATGCTCGTTTTACCGCCCGATCTTGATAAGGGCCTGTTTGAATAGCCACCTGTGTGAACAGAACTTTGAATACCCGCCCGATGTAAAAGCTGATTTCTCAGTGGTAGAGAACAATAGGAAATAAGAAGTGCTTTTGTCACAACACTGTTGAATTTTACCGTTTTTTTGTGTATAATTTTACTTTAAAAATAACAAGCGCCCGTGCTTGAATAAAGGCCGGTTAGTGAGTTTTGTTAAAAAAATATGGGCCCGGGCTACAAAACGAGCAAATACGGTAGTGAGAAAATATTACAGTTTTTATTTGTAAGGGCTGAATGAAGTGTTGCAAAATATACGCAGGTAGGAATTTACCAAATAATGTAAGGATCAATCCTGGTTTAAAGTTTGAACAAGAGACATCAAAGTACTACAGTGGCATTCTTGCCTTTAACAATCTAACTCATTAACAACAATAATCTAACTGTATAAACTTTTAGATACGAAGGTAAAAGACCAACAAACCGGATTCGTGTTCTGAATATTAAGCAAGGGAACACTGTGACTTCCAAACTTATAATCAAGCAAGTTGCGCTCGATGATTTTGGAAATTTTGTCTGTGTTGCGACAAACAGGATGGGAACTATTAATACCACTGTCGTATTAAAAAGTAGGTACCAGGCAATAATTGCCAATGGGTTTCCTGGATTTGTATTTGTAGGATTTTTATATCTGTGCCAGGAGAGAGGAAGCCGATAAGACAGCTTCATCATATTGCACACAATGGCCACTACTAGAGAAATATCACTTTGTATTTGATGTAATTCAGGATAGGATAGGATTTACACATTTAACCCGAGGGAAAGAAAAACCAATAATATGGTTTAATCATATGGTGAACCACGGCCTCTTGTCCGGTTACCAGTTCATTTCAGATATGATTAGTTAGCCAGTTATTTGTTTCGGATGCATGGACTTGATGGTGGAGGAAGCCGTAACCAACAAGCGGAATGTGAACCACTATACCATGGTGAGGAATCCAGTAATCCTTTCGCTCATAATTATCCCAACCAGGAGCCCACACAAGATAATTAGAGGTGCGAACTCTAAACTTGGCGCGCGGTGTGGCTCAACGGGCTAAGCGTTAGGAATACGCTCGCCACCGCACCTCTAATTACTCTGCGTGGGTTCGCAGGGATGCAGGGATGGTTATGTGCGAGAGGATTGCTGGACTCCTCGCCGTCGTTGGGTGGTTCACGTAACCGCTGGTCGGTTACGGCTTCCTCCACCACCAAGTCCATGCTTCCGAAAACAAACTATATAACTAATCCCATACCCGACTTGGAATGGTAACCGGACGAGAGGCCGTGGTTCGCCATATGGATAAGCCGTCTTATCGGCTTTCCTCTCCCCCGGGATAAATATGTAAATCCTATCCTATCCTATCCTAACTATTAATACTACTCTTTATCATCATATTACATTTAATACACAAGCACGCCTTGTCTGTTATGAGCGCTAGTCTATACTTATGTTACTTTGAACTTATTGACTATTCCAAATTTTAATATTCGGCCTAAATATTTAAGCACTAAAATTATTTAATTAATACAACTATTTTGCTATTTCAGGGGTTATACCAGAGGAAACAAGGCCACCACCCCATGTTGGTAAGTTAAATTTTATTTGGGATTATGATTAATTTAGTTTATTATTACTTATCGATCTTAAGATCGGTAAGTATGTTTATGGGTATTTGTCTGTCTGTATGTCTGTTTGTTTGTCTGTTAGATGAACGCGATATATCAAGAAGGCGAGGTTGAATCTGCTTTAAATTTTGCATGTGCATTCATCATATCTCGAACCAGAAGCCTATTGATTTTGGACGAATTATGTCGTATAATTAGCAAGTTATTAATTAATTAGTGATGAGACACGCGGTATCAATATAGAGTCATGATTCGAAACCGCAGTTTCGATCGATAAGTCTTCGGTCTGCGACCGATATTCTCCTTGTTTATTTCTCAGTTCAAATCAACCTTTGTTTAACTGAATAAAATGACCACCTCAACTTCAGAAAAATCCCAGCTAAATTCCAAAAGCATTAAATACCAGAAAAGCGACTTCTTGGCACCAGTAGACATATTCGAACTTGACTATAACAGACTTAGTCAAAATGATATCTTGGCAGGTCAGAGTTCAAAGGGTAAAGTTCTCTCTTTTTTACAGTGTTTGCTGGTTTTCAAAACAGAGCAAATGGACAGAAATCAGACAAAGAAGATGGGGATGGTAATTCAGGGAAATCTTCAAATAAAATTCAAACTTTTACCAAATTATTCACTATTTTTTCACCACTTTTAGGACTAAAAATTGTTACCATGTTTCATATTTAAGCGTATTTTTAATTTTTTTGTTCATTATTTGTTTTAAAGACATGATTTCATATTTATTCTGAAGAAAGGAAAGCTGATATGTAGGGCTTAATACCAAGACAAACCACGCTCTCTTGTTTGGTTACTAGTCCAGTCAAGGTTATTGTAAGTATAGTACGTTATTGGATCTTTGCGCACGCAAAGAATTATCTGCTACAAGAAAACTAACCTCAAATTAAGGTAGGGTAATCAACAGTAGTTTGAATCACACTATTTCATTTTTCCAAGAGGGTTGGGAGAGCCAAGCTAATGGGATGATATATTTATAATAATCATCGTCAAAAACAGTAGATTCCAAATTCGAAAATTTCAATTTTTTAAAATTAGATATTTAAACCTCGGGTTCAGCTGCTCGATAACTTGCTTCGGTTCCCCGCAACATCCCTTCCCCAATAAAACTGTGGAATTATCATTCTATTGTAATTTGTGTTCGATTATTTACTGACTGGAAAAAATAAACTTGACTTGACTCGTCTGGTTACCAAGTTAGTTTTGGACTTGACACCCAGATCCCCTGTGAAAATATCATAGTTATGCTGTCTAAGAATTAAAGATATCACAGTCGTTTTACTTCAATTGATGTAGTCATGGTGATGTGATGACCTTTGCCCATGGCCCCCAGAAAATCGCTTTGGGGCCCTCTAGTGGAACCAGTCATCACTGTTTATTTTACCTTCTATTTAGCGTAGTTCATATGATTCTAAATTCAACATGACATTCTGAACTGTTTTTCACTGTAAATGTTTTTATTATTCAATCGCTATCCTGTTTTTCATTCAATATTGCTGCACTATCTTATCCAAGGAAGCACGCCCATCTTGCCCCTAAAAACTGTATTATGATTATGCTATATTCTTGGCACTATGAAATTGAAACCTAATGCTCCCATTGAAAATTTTTGAGGAAAATAATCAAATCTTGCTTCATAATATCTAATAATAGTTTATTAGTATACTTTACTGAACTTGAAATTCATTTAAAACTGATTTTTCTCATTTTTCTGACTTCTCATTATTGCTGTATCATTACTGTATTGCAACAAGACCATCATGACCAACGTCATTTCAAATTCTGATTCCCCCCCCCCCCCCCCCCCTGTTCAAAAAACCTTCTATACTTTCAAATTGAGCCTTTATTAATAGGCATTGATATCCCAGCGCAGAGACTATAACCAAGCTGCCATTGATATGTGAAAATCTGCAATTTGTAAAAGAACTGGATCTCTCCGTTTTTATATTGCATATACAATTTATTACACAGAATAAAGCTCCCTTAACTCTCTATTCTCAGCAAATGGATTACAGCTTATAACTTTTAAAAACTAATTTTACTTATTTTTCATTTTTCATTATTGCAGTACTATCACTGTATTGCAGAAAAACCATGACCAAGCAAAGATTTTTTCTATTCATCCTTAGTATTTTTGCATTTTTCATTCAATCTTCATTAAAATATTTGATTCCTAGCTGTTTTCATGTTTAGCATAATTCAATTTAAAAAACATCAAATATTCCAAATTTTTCACAATTCTCTAGGCAAGGCTCTGCAGAAGCTGTTATTGATGTGAAAAGAATTTCTGAAAGAACCAGAATGTTTCAAACGGTTTATCATCTTTTCCAATATCAGAAATGGAATTCTAGTTGAAACCTCCAAAAACGATTTCAATCATTTTTTTTTCTTTTCTCATTTTTGCAGTATCATCACTGTATTACAGCAAAAGCATGACCGAGGTATTTGGAAAATGTCCCTAAATACTTTTCTTCCGATTCATCTGCAACTTTCTCAGAACCATTTACTCATCTACAAATTCAATTTTCATAAATATAAACTGATTTTTGGATGGATTTTTTGATGCTCCCGAAGAATTCATACCAAGATTGCGCACAACCTGAACATAGTATGGGTACCAGGTTAGGGTTATTCAGGTTGTGCGTCATCTTGGTACGCCACTTTTTTTGCGTACAACTCAGTTTCAAACTATCCAATATTCCAATGCCCATTTTTTAGTATTGCAGTATTATCACTGTATTGCAGTAAAACCATGACTATGCCCTTTAAAGTGGTCAAGAGGCTTTTTCCCTCTCATTTTCTTAAACTGTTTTATATATCAATTTTTAAAAATATACATAAGCTTCTGCACAATTTACTGTTTGACATAACTCGAGTTAAAATATATCTGATATTTCAAATTTTTCACTTAGAACAGTGGTTCCTAAACTTTTTGATATCGTTCGTTACCCCTAAATTGAATTTCCAAAAACATCAATTACTCCTCACATAAAAAAAAACAGTAGTCATATCGTTATCACTTTTTCTTTGATCAACAATGGCGATAATATTAACACTACCTATTGCATATTCTGATTAGACTTTATGATGCTATACTGTAGCCCATTCTTGCCCAAAATCTGTAGCCGAAGGATTGGTATTATGCCCCTACGAAGTGTGTGACTAGAAGACTAGGCTCATTGACTATAGATGCGATTTTCCGCAAACTGGTCAAAAGTACGGAGTTACAAAAGAAATTGTTAAACCGTGAGCGTCTGGATTACCCCCTGGAATTGCCAAATTACCCCAATTACTCCCAGTTCGGAAACCACTGACTTAGAACAAGAAGGCACCAGCCTTCGATTTAAAAAGACTATTTACTATGGAAAACCAGAACTTTCGAAATGGTCCGTTATCTTTCTTATTATCAGCAAATGCATTTCAACTTAAAACCTTTAAAAGCTGATTTAAGTCGTTTTTTTTTCATTATCATCACTGTATTACAGCAAAACCATGACTCTTTTATTTTTAATTATTAGGTGTAATTTTTTCTCTGTTAACCTGAAGTTTTCTCTGTTTTTAAAGATAGTAACTAATAGGTTCTTGTATAAAGCGCCTTGTTGAAGCAGTTGAAAGCGTGAAAAAGCGCTGTGTGAACAAAAAAAAAATAGATTTTTGCTCCTTTTTCTGTAATTTATAATTATTCAATATTTCGAAATTGGCTTATCATCAATTTCTGAGTGGCTGCTCGTCTTTAGCCTTGATCTGAGAGAAACCGGTTCTTTTAGACTTTTTCCTATTGAAACCCTCTCAATGCTCCTAATGAAATTTTTGAAGAAAATAATCAAATCTTTTCCATAGAATCTAATACTAGTCTATTACCAGTGTACTTCATCCAAAACGGATTTTTCTGATTTCTCAGTATCATTACTGCATTGCATCAAAACCACGACTAACGCAATTTCAAATTCAGATTTTTTTCTCATTTAAAAAATCTTATATATTTCCAAATTGGAATCTTTATCAATATGTATTGATTTACCGGTGCTCCCGAAGTATGTGTACCTAGATGGCGCACAACCTGAACATAGTATATGTACCAGGTTAGGGTTCAGGTTGTGCGTCATCTTGGTGCGAATACTTCCCGAGCGCCGATTTCCCAATATATTGCTCTTTCCTATATATAGCTTGATGCTTATTCTGACGCAGGGAAAATTTTACCGAATCCCAAATATATCATTTCGCAACTCTCACTGCCATGTAATGATAATCTTTACATTCTTTATTCTAAGATTTGCAGTTTCCATACATTCCAGTTCCAAAAGCAGTTTTTTAAATTTCATATTTTTAAATTTCTTGTGAGTCATTTTCATGCATCTACTCCCAAATTTACTACGTTAAAATTTCAAGATACATTTTACAAAAAAAATTCCTTTTAAATAATGGAATTCCTAAAATAGTTAAAATTATTCTATTAGTAATGTTCCCATATTTAGTTGAGAGATCAGGACTTTGCTTCGATCAAACTGTATTGAAAAATTAACTTTTCTTTATTTGCAGATTTTAGAGTAGCAAATACTGTTTTAAATTACTGTTGTATTGCAGTTAATTTACTATTTTTCGATTCTTTTTGTCATTTCCACTGTAATTATTTATTACGTTGCTATCTTTATTTCGTCATAATGTCAACATTGTATATTCTATCCATTGTGTCATAATTGTTTAAAAAATGAAAACGACTCATGCTCGTCTGTGGATTTAAGCGTCAGGGACATGGAAATACGAAATTCCACGCTGTCATCAGGTTAGGCTTATTCACCACTTCTGTTAATGTTAGAAAAAGATGGGGCAACAATTTAACCTAATATAGAAATGGGGGATTGAAAGGATAGTACCGAAAGCCGACTCTTTTCATTGAAAAAATGGGTGCTCCTGAAGTATGCGCACCAAGATGTCGCATAACCTTTAAACTAACCTGGTACACAACCTGAGTTCAGGTTGTGCGCCATCTTGATGCGCATACTTCAGGAGGTCCAAAAAATACATCGGCTGTTGCTTTAAGAAAATCGCGACATCGCGATAAAATAAGATTTTTATATTTATCCCGGGGGGAAGGAACGTCTCCAGTAACTGATTTTTTTCTATTCGTTGAACCGGCAAAACAGCTCCTGACCAGCTGACTTCCACTCAGAACAAGGCCCTGCCCTCTGGTTCGGCATTCCATACGCCTACGTTGCTCAACCGGGAATTCTGTACTTGCTGCAGCGCAGGATGTCTATAAAGTCTCTTTACAATTTCATTTTTGTTATGAAGTCAGTACTCAATATATCTTAACCACGTTTGTTGTTTTTTTAATCAGTAATTGTTTAATTAAGTATTTTTAGTTCATTTAATACATTTAAAAGAACTAAAATCTATGAGCAGGGGGTATATTCACTTGGCTAAAACAGACAGTCTCCGAACTCGTAATAGAAAGAGGGGGAAGCGCTCTATTGAAAAAAGCTGGAAACCATTGCTCTGACCACTAAGCCCCGGAAAAAGCACAATTCGATTTATATTCAAATACTTTTATTACTCATTCTTGTTTGCTTAAATTAATTTCAAGAAATTAAATTTTCTTCGTCAAATTGTATGACTTGCTTCTGTAAACTTCTGAACGGCTTAGAGAGTGCACTGAAAATAAAAGAGAAATTATTGAATATATGGCACGACAGAATGACTGATATGGTCATGGTGGGGTTAGAATAATTCGAACTAACCACTGAAGTATTTAATCGAATCTAATAAAAGATTATTAGATGTACAGGGTGTCCATGAAGTTCCTTTACAATTTTAATTTTGTTCAAATCAGTTCTCACTATATCTTGACTTAAGGTTTGCTGTTTTTACTTTATTCAATTGACCACACGACAAATTTCCTTCAACATAAGTAAGTAATGTCTGTCTTGCGCCACGATAACATTACTTTTTTGCACTATCACAGTATTGTGGATCATGTGAAAGTTATTGGACACGTAGTGGACATAACGATCGTTTCAATATTGTGTTGTTGTTGTTGTTCTTGTTCTTGTTCTTTGACACGTTTTTAAAAAGTCGCTTTTCTCTTTGATTACTGGACTAATTGCTTTGAAATTTTCAGTGGTTGAAGATGAAATTTTTCTCCAGAAGGCTATTACTTTTATTTATTTCAAATATTTCTGTTAGCTCTGTAAGATTTGTTTTTGTTTGCTATGACGTCATTAAACGTTCTGCGGATATCGGACGCCATTTTGTGTCCAACGGACCATCTTGCAATTTCAATTCACGCTGTCACAAGACAGGACCTTCTAAAGATAGAGAAGTTCTGGTACCGTAACACAGCGCGGTGACACTGAACTAACTCGTAGCTGTCAAAAGCTTGAAAATCCATACAAATATGAGAAATAAAAAGATGAAACTTGGCAGGTAGGTAGAGTTGTGTTTCTTTTAACCACATTTGAAAGTTTCGCGTTTTTACATTTGAAGGAGGGGGAATAGGGGGTGTGCACCCGGGGCCACCGTGTTTTCGTCTGTTTGATTGCTGTGATGGGGTGCTTTGTTTATAATGTAACGAGTTTTGTTCGAAATAACCGTGTTCTTGAAATATATGACGGTCAGAAATGCAATTAGAAGCCCAAGGTTTTCACGCTGTCACAAGACCAACAATTGTCAACCAATTTGCGACCACCGTGTTTTGTCTGTTTGATTGCTGTATGGCTGCGTATGCGATAGTCTCGACGCAGCAGAAACGATGATCAAGGCTTGATATCCGTGGTCGCACACTGGTCGTTCGGTCGCAAATACGTCTTTCGAGTGCCGTACTTTGGGGATTTGTATAGCTTTAACCCTTTGTCGTAGAAAGTTAATACGAGGTTTAGCGTGTAGAATAAATGCCGCCTATGCACCCACGGTGAAAAAATTAACGGGTTAGATATATTGGTTTTTGTTCTATAGCGGTTTGAATGAAATTGTCCGCAGACTGGCTACACCACCCTAGGCCTGGTGAGTTGTCAGTGTAGTCGAATTGTCCATCAGCCCTAAACGGCTATGACAGTCACTGTACCAAAAATTGTACCCCGATTCGGCTGGTGTTAAGTTGACGCATGTTATTTAGTAACGTTTTTATGTGAAATGTTTGACTGTGGTTCGGTACCTGATCCGATAATACGGTACATAATTGACTCATATCACGAGATATTTCAACTGATGTTTCAATTGTCACAGGACCTAAAATATCTATGACAGTCCCTGTACCGTCACGGTACCCCAATACAGGTATTGGTAAGTCACCGCCGGTATGTTAGTCGTTGGTCACCGCATATGATTTTTGGGGAATTGTTCTGCGTGTCCATATATTTGAGCATTGCTCTCTTGTTATATATACATTCATTGGCGGCGGGATGCTGAAAAAAAATTAGTGAATCCGCGAAACACATTTTTTGATTGAAAAGCAGCAATATAAGATACTGAAAATAAAGCCAAAAACAATATGAGTTTTGTTGTAGGAGACTCGCGATAAATTAAAAACGCTACGTTAGGCTTTGCAAATCGCAAATTTTCGTTCATTGAAAACGAAACAAAGTCCATTGTACGCGGGATTTACCTTTTATTCATTCCCTAAATTACCGATTCTATAAATTTTACTCAGTGAGATTTTATAGCAGACCTCTTTAACGGTCATATCTATAAAAAGGCACTTGCAGAAGCCGTTCCACGGGGATTTCAAAGGCGATGAATATTTACTTTTGATTCATTAGTGACCTCCATAAACTATCCAGGGCTACTCAACTATTTTCACCAAAGGTCCGTTCAGAAAACTTCAAAATTACTGGGGTCCGGACAATGCAGAATATTTTTTTCATTAAATAACCGAAACGTCAAATATAGACACAAATGTCGCATATTGGTACCAGTACGACAAGCTGTATAGCTGTGTACTTCAATTGCATCAAAATCATCTAAAACTACCAAACGATGCTTATTCCGCCAAACTAAACAAACATACGCGGATCAAATTAAATGATCGAAAGGTCCGAATTCGTACCGCGGTCCGCCAGTTGAGTAGCCCTATACCATACTACTGAAGTTTTTAAAACGTCGTTGCGGACTCATTTAAACGATGGACTCGGGTTGGGAAGCACTGTTATAGAAAAACAGCAAAACGAGAATATCGGCCAGAGACCGAAGACTTATCGATCGGAAGTTAGGCGATCCCCCAAAACAATGCTCTTACTCCATAGTGACACCTTGTGTCCCATCATAATTAATTAATAACTCGCTACTTATACGACATAATTCATCCAAAATCAATAGGCTTCCGGTCCGACATATGATGAACGCACATGCAAAATCTGGAGCAGATTCAATCTCATTTTCGTGAGATATCGCGTACATCTAACAGACAGACAAACAGACAAATACCTATTAACATACTTACCGATAAAAATCGATAAGTAATTAGGAGTGAAATTTTGAGCGTTGTAAAACGGAGCTTAGAAGTATGTGCACCAAGATGGCGCGCAACCTGGACATAGTATATGTACCAGGTTGGAGTTCAGGTTGTGCGTCATCTTGGTGCACATACTTTGGGAGCGGCTGTAAACTTGCTTAAAATTTTAAAATGAATGAATTGATAGCCTTATAGGGACTTTTTCCTTCTGAAGTTACTGACAATATTAAATCGATTGATTATGTTTATGAAAGTTTATAGCAAAGTAGTCGGAATATTAGAAATTATCATTCTATTATGTTATACTTACAGCGGATGTCTCACATCCTGGAACATTGTGTGGCCAGTCACAAACATCAGTCGCTGGGTTGAATACTGTGGTTGATGGACAATCCTGAAATGTAAAATATTTTTTATATAACCTTAAATACCCGTGGATTTCAACCTTTTTGTTGGTGCTAAACCCGATGAAACTCTCCAGAGTCGAGAGTAATTGAGTAATTCACTTTGGCCCGTCTGACGCTGCCGTAACCAAATTTTGATGTTTTTAGACAAAAAATAGCTCAAGGAATTGAAATTGTTGAAATTGCGATTGAATATAGTTTTTGCACGAGGCTTAGTGTTTTCCACTTTTTCGTTTGTAAATCTGTAAATATTGTTCATAAAATGTAACTTTATACGTCACTTACATGGCCCGCCAGTCGAGGTATAGGCACAATTTTTGGCTCTTGGTCCAAAAACCTTGTCAACCCCAGGTCTAGGGAAATCCCTGTGCGATAGTTTAATAGTCGGTTCATATATGAAGGATACGATTTTATTATTCATTCATAATTTCAGAAAGAGTGGTGAACCGATAACCATGTAGGATTAGTTAGCCAGTTATTTGTTTCAGGTATATTGAATTGACGGTGGAGGGAGCCGTAACAATCTTGCCCCACCCCCAGATCCTCCACCCAGTGGTGGGATTCAAATTTTTTGTCAGCCGGTTCCATCACAGAAGCCATATTTTTCGGCCGGTTCCGATATATGTTTTTTTAGTAATGCTAACCGGTTGGCTGATCTCATAAAATTCCACGAGACGGTTCCATAGAACCGGTGCGTACCGGCTGAATCCCACCACTGCCTCCACCTTTAACTTACCATCACATGAGCGTTGTTCCCAGCAACGACACCGTCGCAGCTGTAGTATTTGGTGCAGCAGTTTGGCACTGCTTCGTTGTTAGGATCTCCTAAGCACAGGTGGGCTAGAAATATAAAATATCATGTATTATCCTTGGCCTGACATGGGCAAACTACTGGCCAAATTCGCTTGATGCTGCCATAACTTGTATTTTTGGTTGCCGCAGACTTTTATGTTTTTGGGAAGACCATTTATTTCCGCTGGTGCGAAGCGACTTTTCATACCCTTTTTTAATATGTAATAGCTAGTTAACCAAAAGTGTCACAAAGTTTTCCTATGTACCAATGGAAGGCTAGTAATCGCGGCTTTTCGACAAAAATTTACGTTTTTTTTCGCTCACTCGATTCGATGGCGTTCTTCTCACACCTTTTTCTTTTGCACGCTCAGTCTCGGAATTTAACTTAGTGCCGACAAAGATTGTTAACGTCCCGATAACGCTCTCATTTATGTTCATAGCTTTCTTGCCATTTTGTTCATAAAATATAATCTTTCACGTCACACTTACATTTTTGGACCCCGGTTCGAAAACTCTGCCCAGCCTAGCTAGACCAACCGGGTGGAATTCCTTCCCAGCGAGGTATTTAGCATTTTTTGAGGGGACGTATTTTGCTTTGTATTTTCTGTGGTATTACTATTATGTTTTAGTTCTTTTTTATCACTATAACACTTTTTCAAGCATATGTTATAAACGGTGGTCCCGAAGTATTTGTACCAAGATGGCGCACAACCTGAAAATAGTATTTGTACCAGATTAGGGTTGTTCAGGTTGTGCGTCATCTTGGTACAAATACTTCCGGAACGCCTTATAAACTTCTTGGATAACCTTGACAGGGAATCCTGCTTCCAAATTTGGGGATCGGTGCACCAAGATGGCGCACAACCTAAACATAGTACTTGTACCAGGTTAAGGTTCAGGTTGTGCGCCATCTTGGTGCACATACTTCGAGAACGCCAAAATGAGTTATGTATTTGGCTGATCATCTGAAGGTAATTAATTTTGTTCACCTACTTTACATCAAGTTGTGTAAAGGGACTGAAGCCTATGGGCAGGGGTATATTCACTCGGCTAACACAGACAGTCCCCGAACTCGTAATAGAACTAAAATAAGGAAAATCGGAATAATATTACTAGAATTATTTAGAAACAATATTGAATAAACTTACGGCTTGGTGTTGCTGGAATGCCAGTCCATGGTGCGCCAGTGGTGCCAGTACCGTCCCATGTCTGTAACGAAATTGATTATTTATTAGCAATTGGAACATAAACCCAGATATTTTTGAACTCAAACAGCATTCAAAGTAACTGGAATTAAGAGCGAAAGGGGGGATATCCGCGGGTCAGAAGTGGGAAGCACACATAAAGGGCCTGCACCGGTACCTGTACGTATAATTGAGATACTGAATAGATAAGATACCGAACTAAATTGTTGCGTATATACACGTGCTTAAAAACTGTGATAATGACGTAACAATTGGCGGTATCTGGAACTCAAAAAGAATAAACAACAGATGTTGAACAACTATTCAACTCAAGTTTGATGGGCCATATTAAATTGCACGCGGGGCGTAATTGGCCCACGGGCGGCGGTTTGTGAATCATTGATGTAAAGCATGATATGTAAATGCAGCTCCCGTAGCGACAACATGCGACAACTGGCCATGTTGTTAGGGAGTTCGATACAAAAAAGAAACCGTTCTTATAATTTTGTATTCCACCGCGGGCCATATTTCTATTATCTTTCTCTCTTGTGGGTACGATAGGCCTAGTGTTTAAAGGTTTAAACCAGGTATGCGCAACAGGTGACTCGTGGGCCACAACCCGGCCCGTCAGGTATTTTAGTGTAGTTCTTGTCAATATTCAGATTTTTCCCGATCAAGCATAAAATCCTAATCTGACAGTTTATGCCCAAAACGTCGATCATATGGTAAAAAAAGTTGTGTTTTTTTTGCTCTCGTCGCCGCGTCAAATCTTTCGTCGTTTTGCCCGGCGCCCATATTACTGTATCGCTAAGCAATAGCCATATTCCGCATTTTTGTGTGGCGCAGGTAAATGTATGAAGTTGGTTAGATGGTCCACCCACAGAGAATATTAAAGATAGTATGCTATTAGGGATAAAACTATCGGTAACTTATACCTTTACATGTATGGGGGCGGAGGAAGTACTTAAAATTTCAGGAGCGATATTCAACCCCCAAAGAGGGGGGTGTAAGGAAGTCACTGTAAAGAAATGCACTTACTCCGCAAGGTGGCGCGACGTTAAATGGCCAGTCGCATTCGCCGGAGACCGCGTTGAAAACTGTTCCTTCGATGCAGGTATAGACGAGTGCATTGGCAGATCCGGGGTAGCATCTAAGAAACAAAAAATTACTCAGCCAATATAAGGTATTTTTACCTCGTATCGGGCTTCTGATATATAAAGACCTTTTTTTTGGGGGAGCGCCCGAATTATCCCGTTTACCCACTTTATCACAACATGGGTGATACGGGGGCTGTGAAATTTCAAATCAATATTTTTGAACTGCGATGCCAACATGGTTCAAGTCCAGCGTATTAACAGCTGGGCGATCTTCAGTAACTTCTGTACCACCATGGCGATGACCTAACGGAGCGGCGCCAAATTATGAAAGAAAAAAACGCTGAACAATTGCTCAGCAATAGAGGCGGACACAACGCAACAGAACCGACATAGAAAAATAAATACAATATGTAAAATTTTTGATCATATTTTACTTTTGTTTAACACAATTCTGTTAATTTTTGCGGCGCACTTAGCAACCGCGCAACCCATTGGGAACCGCCTAGCGGTTGAAGCGTTAGACTCATCGAGGATGGCACCGTAAGTAGAAAACTCGGGTTTAAATTGCCCCCCACCTAGCTGGGGGTATAATTACTGGGGGGCAACGCTGACAGGAAAGCTTTCCGGGCTTTCTAAGAACAACAGCTCATTAGATATCAGTATGCTATTACATGGTTTCGTTCATAACTAAAGACGTGAAAAGCCTCTTGTAAAATATAATCGTATCGCTTACTCCAATACTGAGAGTATAGAACACATTATAGTCCAGCGTTTCTTAAACGTTAAAGCGCGACCCACAAAGAGGACGTAGACAAATTTTTAAAGGGCCGTGAAGCTAATTAAAAATAAAAATATTTGGTAGATTTGATCTTGCGCGCCTTATTTTGGATATTTTATTTTTTTTATTTTGGATATTTATGTTCATTTTTAACGTGTTTTCTGAATAAAACAGACTTTCGCCTTACTATCTATTATTTGTAGCTTATTGTTAGCTAGTTATTTTTGAGGCGAGAGACGTAGCAAATTCTAAAAAGGGGACGCGGCTTGAAAATTTTGAGAAACACTATTAACTCACCTGTAATATTGGGTGCAGTTCGAAGAAGCATAATTGCCATCCACGTGATTCAAGCTGGAGCAGTCGAATACTGAAAAGAGAATTAAGTAAAAAAGAAACCTTAACAGGTCTCTTATATCGATATCAATACGGTAGACAGTGTAGTAGTGTTCAACCTGTGGCCCGTGCGCCAAATGCGGCCCGCAAGGTAAAAGTGGGTGGCCCGCGGAAGAGTGCCAATTTTGAATAGTGTGTGGCCCTCGAAACGAGTTTTTAATTTAGTTTAATCTGGTATGTGAGAGTAATTCCAATCTCTCACAATGCCCTAACAGTTAGCTTGTGCGAAGCGAACAACGCATGTGATAAAATCAATACCCAAATTAAAAGTGCGACCCGCGGTTTCACCCAGTTATTTATATCTGGCCCTCATGTATTGAAGGTTACACACCCCAGATTCAGTGAATCACTGACATAAGACAACCACTGGCAATATATCCCAAGCAACAAGCATCTGGAAAGAATTAAATTTTCATCAAACATACCGCATAAGTAATTCCATTACTTTTCGTTGAAAAGCCTATACCAGAGTCCAATTTATTATCGATGCCGATGAAGTAACAGTGCCCCAACAGCTAGCATGCGCGGTGCAGAACTGTTTAGTTTTTACATAAAACTTCATAGGAAAACTGACTTCCATGAAGCCCAATTGGTCAATAATGAGAGAAGCGATTTTTTCATAACAATAATAAAGAACAACATAATAACAAAACGATTCATAGGTTCAATACGTGCTCAATAATAGTATGTCTTGCGTAACAGTGAATATGTATGTATATAGAGCATTGTACTGTAAAGTCGTTAAAAAAATTTAAACTCAAGATTTGTTTATAGAAAATCTAATTTTAAAAATCAACTCAGTGTGGCAAGCCGAATTGTTCAAACTTTCGATTTTGACTTAATAAACTCAGAAATTCCTACAATGAGCGGAAATTCGAAATAAACTGTTACTCCGAAACGAAGTACAATCATGGAAACATCGGATAAAATAGAACAAAAATGGGTTCTCCCGAAGTATGTGAACCAAGATGGCGGACATCGGAACGTAGTATGTGTACCAGGTTTGGGTTAGGCCATGATTTTATGTACAAATACTACTGGAGTCGCTTGATTAGTCCACGAACTCGTAATAGGACTAAAATAATGAAAATTAGAATGAAATTATGGCCTAGCCCTAACCTGGTACACATACTACGTTCCGATGTCCGCCATCTTGGTTTACATACTACGGGAGTATCCAAAAATGGGACCTCTTGAAGTATGCACACCAAGATGGCGCACAACCTGAACTCAGGTTGTGTACCAGGTTAGGGTTCAGGTTGTGCGACATCTTGTTGCGAATACTTCAGGAGTACCCAAAAATGTACTCACCGCTCGGTTGCACGGTAGGCACTTCTGTGGACTGTGCGAATGCACATCCGACAAGAACAAGAACAACGAAAAATCGTAACATAATGTTTTTTGAATCAATACGATACTGTCATAAAAAAAAAAAAAAAGATAGGAATATTCTATTTATTTTGAGGAACAGGGGCATACCCTAATATTTTCGAAGGGGGTAGGGGGTCTGAAAAAAAGGCTACGCTCGCGAATGTTTCTGACGCATGGGCTTGATAGTGGCGAGAGCGTAACGCAAACACAATGGTAACGTGGCAACCCTTTAATGGTCAAAAGTCCAGCAAACCCATGCGCTTAGTTATTCTTATCACTAAAAGAGAAGTAATGTTAATAGAAGAGTTGCAATTTTGCCAAAATTACCGAGCCATCATTTAAAATTGAAGCACACTGATAAAAAAATCGCTGCTAAAAATTGTGACCTCCAGCGTACAAAGAGCCATATATATACATGGGTACCTAGGAGACAAAATTTTCACTTGAAAGCGGTTGAAATGAAAGTTAAAGTCCACGCTGTAAAGGAAAAGCTAAGCCCATTGTCTTCTTGCCACTAAGCCCGTGCGTTATCACACGGGTTGGGCATTTAGAATCGGATAGTAAAAACTAAATTATTCGAATCGATTCAGACAAAATTTTCGAATCTCCGCGATATTATTTTTTTTTGGTATGTACCAAACTTCAAGGTGAATCCTTCAATTGTGTTATTGAAGCCATCATTTTAAAATGCACTTGCGACATATGAATTTTTCTTTCTAGTGAGTTATTGATTAAATGTTTCTTATTGCGCGTGACATTCTGTCTGCGAACGGCCTGGGTAATATAAGGTGTCCATAAAGTCTTAAAAAAAATTAAATTTCAAAGGGAATTCATCGATAACATATATTGTTTTGGCTCTCACAGATGTATTAAATAAAGTAAAAATACTCAAACAATTACTGATTAAAACACAACAAACCCGGTTATTAGTGGTTAAGTTATATTGAAAACTGCCTTCGTAACAAAACAAACCTAAAAAGACTTTATGGACACCTTGTATAGTTGACTTTATGATTCGATTCGATTCATCAAGTATTCGAAAATACCCAGTTTAAGTGGTACTTCCAATCAAATCCTAGACATCATACATATCTCTCATTTGCACATTCCGTTGTACATTCTAAAATTTCATAACACATAAACCGAATTATTTTGTAGAAGGACGTGGATTCAAACCCGCAGCCCCGAGCACCGATGCGCATTCTCAAATAACAGGGCGAATTTAAATTTTACCCAAGAACTTGGATTCGAACCCTAGGCCTCTTGAACAGCCGCATCCTCGCCTCAAGCTATCAAAGCCAGCTTATATCAATGAAAGACCGTCTTCCACGTCTCCATATATACCCTAATAATGAGTATATTATGTGCGGGCCATAATCGAGCCAAACATATTTCTAAGCAAGGAGGTAACAACAGATGCAAATTCCCATCACGTGTCCCAAGCCCTTGTTATGTCACAATGCTTCGTCCAAGCTAGGTAATAATAGCATCATTATCACAAAACAATTGTTTGTTAAGTTGGCACATCGAAGTTCATGCGATAACCCAATTTTTACCCCCTCCCAATCAGGGAGGATCGGAGAGGAAGTCCTCTACTTTAGGTACAATTTGCGGAAAGTACGATAATTTCAAGTAAATGTTCCGTTCAAATGCATTTATTCCTTTAATTCCATCGACATTTTATGATTAAATGTGGCAAAAAATAAATGATGAAAAACATCGCAGCTAGGGCTGGGCATTTTCGAATACCTGATGATTTCAGAATAGAATCGAATATATTTTTCAAATCGAATCTCGAATACTTGGGAGATATATAATTGTATGTGACTTTCTTTTTGTATTATTGAGTCCTCCAGACATAAATTACTGGAAACGTAAAATACATCACTCAGACAGATTGCTTAGCGTTCACACACAATAAAAAACACGTTTTCATCGATAACTCAATACAGACTTGCCATAAAAAAATATGGCTTCAATAAAAAGAATTGAGACATTTATGTCGACAATTGACGTAAAAGAAAAAAACAAGATGGCGGCGATTCGAAATTTTGTTCTGAACCGATTCGAGTAATTTACTATTCGATTCGAAAAGCCCGGCCCTAATCGCAGCGCAAAATATAATCTTAAAAAATTTTGAAATTGCAAAGGGAGTTAGTTTATCGATACCATATATTGTTCCGGCCCTCAGAGATGTATTAAATGAAGTACGGCCCGTGGGCTTATTACGGCCCGCGTTACAATTTAATATGGCCCGCCAAACTTAATGTACCCGTTTTGCGTTCTAGATATCGCCAATTGTTACGTCATTATCACAGTAGGCACGTGTATATTCATAACAATTCATTTATACCGGGATCCTCATTATACGTACCGTTACGGCATCTTGTGGGCCTCTCCTCGTTCCTGGCCTGCGAATACCCTTTCGCTTTTAATTTTGCCCCTCCCCCCCCCCCCCCCCCCCCCCCCGGTCAATCAACTTTGGGGACCTCTGACTTGAACTTCACTAAAGCGGGAGTGCGACTTGTGCATAGATGGTAGTTTTTATGCGTATTGCAGTGATAGAGTGGTATATAAAGAGTTCTATGAATATCGAAGGTAGGGATTTAACGAAAAAGGTGGGAACCACTGCTCTAAGCATTAGCAACATTCACAATTTATCCATCAATACATGTCCGTCGAAATCACGATAATGCCTAATACATCAATTCCCAAAGAGGCGTCGCGGCGAGTTGCTATGTGCGCCGCGCAATTTGAAAGAATTGTGTTAACATAACAAAAAGAAATTTTCGTGTGAGGGTTCTGCGAATTTTTTCGCGCCGAACGAACAATAAGTTTGGGAATCGCTGGTATAATAAAAGCTTAATATCACGAAGTGAATATATAATATCGGGTCGCTAACCCTCTTTTCAAAAGTTCTGACTACGTCCACATCCAAAACCATCACAGACAAAGAAAACGTGACAGGAGAGAAGGCCAGTATGTTTTCCCCACTGGTTTGATATTCCAGTATGTGGGATACAACAGAAGTAAGGAGAATGGTACTATGCGTAAATTAACATTTTATATCTCGCCGACCTGTTTTTCTCGGAAATAGATAGCAAGGTGCTTCCGAGAAGAGGAGGGCGTGCGGAACACTGTGTGATGGTTTAATTTTTAAAACCTCAGACTTAGTCTGTTCAATGTTTTAACCACATGGGTGGGCAAAATACGGCCCGTGGGCCCACCGAAGTGATTCAACTGGCCCAATTGTGTCTGCTTAAATTAAGATTATAGTCTTCATGAATTTAAGTTTCCGTTGAAAATAACGTCATAATGACTCGATTGTTACATAGTACTTGCAAGTATTTGTAAATAAACTGCTTTTTAATCAAACTTTTTCGTATTGAGTTTTAAGTGTCGGGCCCCGTAATTGAGTCTATCATGTGTTACTGGAACAGGAAAGTAAGTGCCAAACGCTGTTTCACCACATCTTACTGAAGTGAAAGAGATTGAACGGTACGTTGCATACAAAAATGGAAAAAAAAAGTACATTATCAAATATGGAAATTTTTTAAGATATATATATTATTCACAATAATTGATTGTCTCTATATGATTATGCTTATTATTTTGAATTATTGATGAAAAATCCTGTAACTATACTGATTAACGGTGTGTTATAAAGGGAGTCCATAAAGTTCCTTTACAATTTCCAAGTCAGTTCTCTATATATCTTAACCAAGTTTTTCTTTTTAATCAGTAATTGTATGAAGTATTTTTCACTTCGTTTACTACATCTGAGGGGGTCTAAACAATATATGGTATCGATAAATTCCATTTGCAATTTAAAAAAAGTTCAAGATTTTATGGACACCCAATTTAATGATAAAAAAGTGTTAAAAAAATAGACTCAACAATGTTGGAATTGCAGGTTGGACGTCTCGAGTTCAAATCCCGCGCCCACCACCTCACCCAGTATGTAATAAATTGGGTTACAAATGCTGAACCAAAAAATGTCACAGTCCTTATAAATTGAAGGTAGCTTCTTACATATTGTGAGATATCAGTGGCTGCTTGCACAGGTCCTTGTTCAGAGCCATGGGCACGACCAGTATGTTTCCCAGGTTTTATTTCAGGGGGGTGCATCCAAATTTAGGAGATGGTAGGTATTTTGTTATTAGTGATAAAACTATTTGTAACTAATAAAAATGTGTTATGTATTTCAATGACCATTTCGCCGGAATATGAGTCACTTTCTGGATATTCAGATACAATTTTATTTACGTTATGGATTAAAGTATGATGCCACATCTAAGAAATAAGGGGGTGTTCACCTCTATAGCGTGGGTGTAGGGAAATCACTGGGCACGACTACGTGTTGTTGAAGACGCGTCACGTAGAATAGGCGTTTCCAGACGCCCCAGACATGACCCTTGCTTACTTCAAAAACATCGCCATATGTTCGACTCACACGCCTTATTTATTTGAGCTCTGACGGTCGGGACGGAGTATCGAGTCTATTTCTGTAACCATGTCTAGACTGTTTTATCGCCCAAAAACCCCGCCTACGTTTTAGGGTGAATGTTGAATAGGTGGAAAAGTTTCAGTATAACCTTCAAATAAAGTTCAGTTTGTACCGGATTAAACCAGTTTGAGCTGACTAGAAAGTAAGCAGTCAAGATAACGGATATTTTTCTGTACCAACGTCTAACTCTAGACTGTCCGTGCCTACGATTGAGAGTAAACGTTGGAACGTTGGGAAAATTCCAGTATAACCTTCAAAGTAAGTCCAGTTTATACCGGTTTAAACCAGTATGAGCTGGCTTGAGGGTAATCAGTCAAAGTATCGAGTCTATTTATGTACCCACGTCTAGACTGTTTATTGCCCAAAAGCTCCGTCAACGATTTAGGGTAAAAGTGGAATGAATAACCTTCAGAATGACCTTCAAAACAAATTTCAGTCCATACCGGTTTGAACGAGTTATAGTTTTCGTCTCAACTTTCTTGGTCCTAACTAGTGAAGGCGGATCTAGTTCTGAATGTTTGCTGATTCTAAAAAAGAAGTTTTCCCCTGAACCAGTGGTTTTCAACCTGTGGTACGCGTACCACTAGTGCACTGGTTCTTAACCAGTGGGCCATGGCCCACTTCTGGGCTACAGAAGCATTTTTGCCAGTATTAATCATAAATTAGTTTTGGCTGTGGGTGGCAATTCTCATTTTTCTTATTTAATGAAGTGTCTATCTTTTCAAAAAGAATTTTTCGTATTTCTTAGTTTTTCCTTAGCATGAGAATTTTTTTTTTTATCAAAAAGACAAATAAAAGCATTTCGCAAAATAGCATTTCGTGCTGAACAATGGAAATGATTGGTCACAGAATTTTTGTGCAACAAAAGTGGGACACGACGAAAAAAAGGGTGAGAATTACTGCACTAGTGAAAGCTTTTCAAGTGGTACGCGAGCAGTTTGAATTATTCCAACAATTAACTTTTAAGTTGACTAACATATGGTGGCACACGTCGAAGTCTTATTTTCCAAATTCTTGAGTCGGAAACAACAATTTTCAGTACATAAAGATGGAAAAGTATGACGAAGGCTTTTGCTTTTAGTTATTTTTTTCAAATTTTTTTCTGAGTTGACAGGGACCCGATGTTTCACTATTTTTCCCACTTTTTATTTCGTATTGCTTGACCGCTTCGTATGCTTGTCCACCGATCTTTTCAAAAAACTCGGTGCTCATGTAAGGCCGTACCGTTACCGTTTCGCCGATTTTTTTCAGAAAACTCGGTGCTCATGTAAGGCCGTACCGTTACCGTTTCGCCGATCTTTTCAGAAAACTCGGTGCTCATGTAAGACCGTACCGTTACCGTTTCGCCGATCTTTTCAGAAAACTCGGTGCTCATGTAAGGCCGTACCGTTACCGTTTCGCTGATCTTTTCAGAAAACTCGGTGCTCATGTAAGGCCGTACCGTTATCGTTTCGCCGATCTTTTCAGAAAACTCGGTGCTCATGTAAGGCCGTACCGTTACCGTTTTGCTGAGCTTTTCAGAAAACTCGGTGCTCATGTAAGGCCGTACCGTTATCGTTTCGCCGATCTTTTCAGAAAACTCGGTGCTCATGTAAGGCCGTACCGTTACCGTTTCGCCGATCTTTTCAAAAAACTCGGTGCTCACGTAAGGCCGTACCGTTACCGTTTCGCCGATCTTTTCAGAAAACTCGGTGCTCATGTAAGGGGTTTTCTTTTTTATCAATTTTTTTCTGTATTTTATATTGAAATACCCTTTGCATCGCCGCAAAACTACGCCAAAACATTGCATTCTGGCAGCTGCACACGCAGCTGGAATTACAATATTAAAAATGTAAATAAAAATTCTTATTTTGATTTTTACTTCTTTTGCGTACATTTATCGCCACGATTTTTATTGTATCTCCGCATTTATTGTATCTCCGCCTAAGTCATAAGATTTCAACCATAATGTTTAGCCGAGATATCAGAGAGACGTTTTGAGTAAGAAAAATCATGAAAGTTAGCTCACAAGCCTACTATAAAATCAATTAGAGGAATGGCAGCCTTCGGCAAAACGAGTGGGTTGCGATAATAAAGAATGTGCTTATATCGGTGGCAATCTACTGATATGAACAATGACCCTATTCCAGCTTTTGCTATTTGTAAGAGTCCTCTGATGCAAAGACGCCACAACTAATCTGTTATGACGCCATCATATGGATTATGAGTTCATGTTTTGGTATTTTTCTAATGAAATGAAGGTATTATTACGGTTAATACTGTACGGTTAATTTATGCTTAGCATACGTTGGTTTTACAGTTGAAGTGATAGAGTTTCGTCGTTTCGTCGTTCGGGTAATGGCTTTTCGGTTGCGTCTTACTGGGCAAACCACTGAACTACAGCTTGATAAGGTGTACATGTGCCTCTATTCATATTTGTGGCGTTTTGAGGGATTTATTGCAAAAAAGAAGCGCTTGGCAAGTTTTTACATCCATTTTTCTTCAACCTATTTCATACAAAAAAATCGAATAGTACAGCCATTTTGAACAAAACAGGCATAAAAAAAACTTGATTTAAAACATTTGTTTTAAAACAATTCTTTTTGAAAAAATCCCTACGTACCGTTACCGTTTCGCTGATCTTTTCAGAAAACCCGGTCCTCAAGTAAGACCTCACCGTACCGGTACCGTTTCGCCGATCTTTTTAGCAAACTCGATACTCAAGTAAGGCTTTCCCGTACCGTTACCGTTTCGCCGATCTTTCCAGCAAATGAGGTACCCAAGTAAGGCACTACTGCACCGGTACCGTTTTGCGACTTTCGTGCCCATATTTTCGATCATTGCTCCCTTGTTTTAGCGACTTATTGTAAAGCCAATGCTTGAACTGAATATTGTGCGCACAGTTTAATGCTGTAAATTACATGGCCGTGTGTATTATACGCCAATGTATATCCGACCGTGTTTGGCAAACACATTTCGCTTAATTACGTAAAAGCCATTTCGCGGCTTTATGTTAAACAATTATTACATAATAATGGTGCTATTATTACATCACTTTGACGAAGAATTGTGAAGCAATAAACGTCTTAACACGACATGGGAAAATGCAATCTGCTACTCAGAGGAATTACTCCCGTAAAGCTAATATATTCATAACACATTAGGCCAATTTTGACTCGTATATAAGTAAGGCTTCCTAAAGGATATATAATGTGGCGAACCATGCTGTCAGAAGTTGGCTGAATAACAAGAGACAAGCGAGAGTTGAGGGACCTGTGTTTGATTCCGAGTTCTTTCAAATGCGAAATATTAATAGATTTGAGTTTTAAAACTTGATTTTAGAAAGAAAAAAAAAGCCAGTAGAGTGATACAGTTTTAAGTTGTGCCTTACGCGATATATAGTCGCGATTTTTTATAAACTTTCAAAGTAATTTTATGCAATGTAGCTCAACGTAGGGCAGGGGTTTCCAACCGGAAGCCCCCAAGAGGGGGGATGGGGAGACACTAAGCAGTTGGAGGGGGACACAATGCTGGGCGCAAAACTGATTTCCAATAACTTTACAAGAAAACACTTGTTCTTCCTAGTTTCATTGCTTGATAAGGTTATTTTACAGAGTGTTTTCACCTTGTTGAGAATGAATTGTTTGAACAAATGGATGGGACTTGGAAGGCATCCAAATGCAAGGCATCAATCCGCGCCGCAGAGTTAGGGAAATTTCATAATTTAACTTCTCTCGGATCTAGAATAAAAACACAAGTTTTGATTCCAATTCCCTACTTTGAATTGTAAATTAGTTTGACTACGACTCCAGTTCCGAAGTCACTGACGAAAATTACCGAATATCGCATGTAAATCTGAGAATAATTTTATCAAGTGTCATATGAAATTTTGGACGAACTGTACCTAATGTCCAGGGGCCTAGCCGGTGGGTGATTTTGGGGGTCGGAACCTCCCCCCTCTTTTTGAAATGTAAAAAAATAAAAGCATCTTTCTGTATCATACATAGCAATTTAGGGGGCTCCCGAAGTATGCGAACCAAGATGGCGGACATCGGAATGTAATATGTGTACTAGGTCAGGGTTAGGCCATAATTTTAGGTATAAATACTACGGGAGGCTCTTGGCTAGTCTTCGAACTGATAATAGGACTAAAATAAGGAAAATTGGAAAAAAATTATCACCTAACCCTAACATGTTACCCATGTTACGTTCCGATGTCCGCCATCTTGGTTCGCATACTTCGGGAGCCCCCAATTTAGCTTGAAACGCTTTTTAGATCCTAAGATTCATGAAAACACACGTTTCCGGCGTCCGGCCGGACTCGCTAGCTGTTTCGATCCAACTTGGCAAATATAAATTTCAGAACCCCCGCCCCCCCTTAAAAATTTCTGGCTACACTTCTGCTAATGTCATATGAAATTTAAACAAATTGTTCCGAATGTCATATAAAGTGTGCCCGTGAATTATAAAAAAAAAGCAAAATTTATGTTTTAGTATACCCTCTTATATTACCAGTTTTGTGAAAAATTACCAAACATAATGTTACGTTTCACCGTTGTTCTTGCTTTCGTCGGATGTGCTTTGGCACAGAATCCTACCGTGCCACCGAGCGGTGAGTATTTTTTCTATTATTATTTGATAAGCCTAAAACAAATAATTGACATTTGCCCTCGGCTCAGTACAGTATGTTCTTCAGCTTTGCATTTCAGGGGGAAGAAGGGGGTCGGAATTCAGGGATTGGTCGATATTTTTGCCACTCCCCGAATTCCAGCCCCTTCCCCTGGAATGTAAAACTAGTGCTGCGGAGCCGGAAACAATTTATAGCGGCTATCAATCAATTTTGGGGACCACTGGCTCAGAGCCTCTTAAAGGCAATATTTGGTCATGTCCTGTGTTATTATGATTAAGTTACCTCAAGGGCCGCAGTATCTTACCTCGATATTTAGGCTGAGAAAAGTTTGACTACGGATTAAGAAATATCTTCGCCGCGACTTCCAGTTACAAATCAACTACAGCTTTGAACTCAGGGAAAATCAAATTGACGAATTCAAACTCCGACTTCGGGTAGTTATAGAAATACAATTCCATCTCGTCCACCTCAATGCTTTGTAACTCAACAGCTTCGCTGGGAACCTCATGTCAGCGATCCGCCATTTTTGTAGTGGATCTTGGTCAGAGCCGGATTATGCTTTTCAGAGGCCATAAGCGCTTAAGATTTTGGTGCCATGTGTATAAAAATGATAATAATGAAACTAGTGTTGTGCGTTATCTGAAATTAAATAAGTAAGTTTCAGTTTCCATTGCTAATTGAGGGCCAAATTACGATTAATTTGCATGATTTTTTGGTTTTCAAAAAATGTTCTTACACTTGCAAGCATTGATAAAGAGGTTCAAGATGATACTTGAGAAATTCATTTCAACCGGCCCAATATTGATATCTGCGTCGCCTGACCAACTCGAATTGTTTTCCCGTGTTCCCCCTACGGCCCTAAGCAAGTGCTTATTTTGTTACTTATCGATCTTAAGATCGGTAAGTATGTTGATAGGTATTCGTCTGTTTGTTTTTTTGTCTGTCTGTCTGTTAGATGCACGCGATATCTCACGAAAGCGAGGTTGATTCTGCTCCATTTTGCATGTGCATTCATCATAGCTCGGATCAAGAGCCTATTGATTTTCGATGAATTATGTTGTATAATTAGCGAGTTATTAATTAATCAGTGATCTGACACACGGTGTCACTATGAAGTAAAATCGCTGTTTTGGGGGATCCCCTAACCTTCAATCGATAAGTCTTCGGTCTCCGACCGATATTCTCATTTAATAGTTAATCCATCACTGTTCATGATATACACCAGGGGTTCTCATACGTTTGATGTTATGGAGCCCATGAAGAGGTTGACTATCATTTACGGATCCCCCAAATAAATTTATGAAAATAAAAGCAAAAAAGTATATTTCCACTTACCGATTAATCTTCTCGAATAAACTAAAAATACTTTATTTAATTACTTACATGTATTTACCGTTGTCAAATTTTGTTATTGCTGTCATTGTTTCTTTGTAAAGTTACAAGATTAGACAATTCAGTGTTTTAATAAGTAAACGAATAGCGAACGAATTTGAGAGGTACTCCCGAAGTATGTGAACCAAAATGGCGGACACCCGAACGTAGTATGTGTACCAGATTAGGGTTAGGTCAGGATTCCAGGTATAATTACTACGGGAGTCCCTTGGCTAGTCCCCGAACTCGTAATAAAACTAAAATAAATAAAATTGAAATAAAATTATGGCCTAACTCTAACCTGGTACACGTACTACGTTTCGGTGTCCGCCATCTCGGTTCACATACTTCGGGAGTACCCTTTATGAACCTATGCTTCACCATCATAAATGTTATTTACCATAACTAACTGAATAACATTTTTCAGAATTCAATTGCGCTGATTATCCGGCAGGCGATGCGTATTATCCGAGCCCAACAGCTTGTGACGAATTCTATAGGTAAGTACCTGATTGGGTGTTGTTACGTAAATTAATACGGAAGTTGAAACGGAAGTTAGATTTTTTTTAATTCCGAGAGACGGCACTGGAAGACTTAATCAAGAGCGTGGGCATTTCTATCAAATTAACCAATATCAATATTCCCTAATAACGAGAGAGCGATGCTCAAATATACGAACACGAAGTCAAAAACGCCTTAGTACGGGGTATGCATTCGGTCACAGGAAACTTCCGGTACCACGATATCATAAAACGTGAAAGACTGTCATCACGATATCATAAAACGTGCTCCATAATTTGTTTAATATTATACAGCGGATTTTAGATGAAATACTAGATCTCACAGAAAATTTGAAAAAAAAAATAAAAGTAATAGCCTTCTAGGAAAATTACAATCTTTAACCACTAAAAATTTCAAATGAATTACTACATTAATGAATGGGAAAAAATGATTTTTTCATAAGACAAGAGAGCTGTGCTCAAATATATGGACACGTCACAAGGTGTCGCTCTTTTTTATTCTGACACATAAAAACGAATCTCTTGAAGTTCACAGAAATTTTTTGAAATAAGTAAAAGTAATAGCATTCTGGCAAAAAAATCAATCTTTAATTACTGAAAATTTCAAAGCAATTGGTCGAGTATTCGAAGCGAAACGCGTTTTCATCATGACGAAGGAGAATAATAATAACAAGAACAACAACATATTATTGAAACGATTGTTATATACACTGACGTGTCCAATAAAAACGATTCATAAGTCTACTCCGTTCACGATAACATGAAAATGTAGAAAATGCGAACTGAAGCATTGGTAGGGAGATAATAGTTATAAATTACTGGGATCTGGGGGGGTATACGCCATTTTTAAACACCATTTTTGAACGATTTACTGAAAATCGGACGTTTCCTGGTTTGCTATCAATAATCCTTTCACCAAATAAACCAAACCAGATGAAAATGCGCGCTTATTTGCTTTGGAATTTGGATAACTTCGACAGCGAAGTACATCTGTGAAGCGATTCTTTAAGATATTGTAAATAATCAGTGGCCACTTTCATATGACTTTGGAATTCTCCCAGCATCGCCTGCCCTAACTGAAGTATCACACATGGAATTTGAAATCGTAACCGGCGATTACAACACTATTAAGTCGATACTAACGAAGTGTGTGTACCAGGCTAGGGTTCGGCCATAATTTTATTCCGATTTTCCTTATTTTAGTTCTATTACGAGTTCGGAGACTGTCTGTGTTAGCCAAGTGAGTATACCCTCTGCCCATAGGCTTCCGTCCCTTTACACAACTCGATGTAAAATAGACGAACAAAATTAGTTATTTCTAAATTGGTACACACACTTATGGAGCGCCGGCCATATTGCTTTGCGGTAATCCCATAAAATAATAATACACTGTTCATTTCACTCTAGGTGCGGCGTCCCAGGTTATACAGAGGCCTTCAAGTACACCTGTCCTGCTGGCCAAGTTTATTATGATCCCACCACCAGATGTGAATTCGAGTACAGCGTACCACCACCGTGTGGAGTAAGTATTTTCTACCTCAAGGCTCCACAAAATTGCAGTTTCGCTCCCCCCTCCTCCAATTGAACAGGGGGGAGCCGGAAAGTGGGGGTGGCGGCAATTTTTCGTAGTTTGAAACGCTTATTAGACCCTACAGAATCTTGAAACCCTCGTTTTCCGGGCCTGCTAGCTTTTACGATCTAACTTGGCAAATAGATACTTCAGACCCCTCTGCCCCTCCTTAAAAATTCTCCGCTGAGTTTGATGTATCTGAAATTTATCATTGGAACAACCTCTTTATTACTTATCGATTTTAATTGGTAAGTATGTTGATAGGTATTTGTCTGTCTGTTTGTTTGTCTATTTGTCTGTCTGTCTGTTAGATGCACGCGATATCTCACGAAAGCGAGATTGAATCTGCTCCAGATTGTGCATTCATCATATGTCGTACCAGAAGCCTATTGATTTTGGATGAATTATATCGTATAATTAGCGAGTTAATAATTAATTAGTGATGGGACACGCGGTGTCACTATAGAGTCATGAATCGAAACCGTAGTTTCGATCGATAAGCCTTCGGTCTCCGACCGATATTCTCGTTTGTTAATTGTAAAATATCTGTTTTATCATTAAACTACAGACTGCAACGACTGCAACAGGAGGTCCAGTAAACACCATCGACCCAACACGTGAGTAAAACATTTTTATTCTCATCCCAATTTCTGTCATGTTACTTACATGCAATTTCTTATTGCTTCTCCACATTGTGTACACCAGCGGTCCCCGACCCAGGGCCCGTGGCCCAACAAGGGGGTCACAACCGTTGGTGGGGCCACAATGCTAGGCGAAAACTGATTTTATTTTTCTCCTTTACAAAAAAACTCCAAAAACTATTCCTATCTTCATTGCATGATAAGGTTGTTTTCACTTTGTTGGGAATGAATTGTTTGAACCTAATGTGATTTGGCATCTACCAATCAAATTAACACTGTAAATAATGGGAAGATAAACAGGCGGGCCATCATGAGCCTTCGCAAGGAGGCCACGAGCCATAAAAGGTTGGGGACGACTGGTGTACACGGGTAATATATTTCTGTACGCCGCATTACGGCCTTTTAATTCTGAACTTCGCTCTTCACTATCACCCACTGTTTGGCAAGAGTTACATTAGAATCTTTTTTTATGCTCTAACACAACCATGGGCAAAATACGGCTCGCGGGCCAAATAAGGCCCGTTGGGTTATTCTATCTGGCCCGCCTGATGCCGTCACAACCAAACTAAAACCAAATTTTGCTGTTTTAGCAAAAAATAGCTCAAGGAATTTGTTGGGATTACGATCAAATTGAGTTTTGGCATAAGGCTTATCGTTGTCTACTTTTGCTTTTGTGACACTGTAAATATTGTCCAAAAAATGTAACTTTTACCTCATACTTACATGGCCCGCCAGTCTAGATGGGCAAAATTTTTACTTATTGTCACTAAACTAGGTGAAAAGTGGGCGGGAACTGTGGCGTATTAGCTAAAGCGCCTAACTGTAATAGCATCTCATGTTGAAAGCTTGCGCGTTCGAATCCCAATCATGTAAATTCTATCCCGAGTGACCTTTGCTCGGAGATGAGCCTCTTTTATTTATAACTTCCCCCCTCCCTACACACACACACACACAAAATAAAGATAATTACCTCGCTAAACATTTTTCTTCCTGCAGCACAACACCTCTGTGATGGAAAAAACCAAGGTACCTTCCCAGTGAAGGATTGCTGCACCAAGTTCTATTCCTGCAGCGGGATAACAGAGCCGGAAACCACGACTGCCCAGGTAAAGTATAAGACTATAGGTTCAAACCCCATGTCTTCCAATTTGCCCAAAATGTATTGAATCAATACCTGCTCGTTCAGTGCCCTACTTTGAGTTTACGTGTAAAATTAGATCCTTCTATACAGGCACGTATTCAGGAGGTTCGGAAACCCTCCCCTCAGTTTGAAATGTTAAAAAAAAATTGTATCATAAATAGCAATTTTTTGTAGCTTGAAATGCTTCTTTAACTGTGAACACTTTTGAAAACTCAGGTTTTCCAGCTAATCTATTCGAATTGTTTCATTAACGCTGGGTCATCATTGAAAAATTGTCTATCTATGGAAATTTCTGCGAATCGCCTCGAATTGCTTCTCTTGTTTCTCAAGCACGTGTTTATTTGGCGCTCCAGAAGTATGTGCACCAAGATGGCGCACAGCCTGAACCTAGTATGTGTATCAGGTTAGGGTTACCAAGATGGCGCCCAACCTGAAAACCCTAATCCGGTACACTTACTAGGTTCAGGTTGTGCGCCATCTTGGTGCAGGTTGTGCGCCATATTGGTGCACATACTCCGGGAGTGCCGTTTATTTTGCCTAATGGTTAATACTGATATGTTGTTATACAACTTTTTTACTTACAGAACTGCCCATCTGGTCTTGTATTCAACAAAACACTTGGATATTGTGATTGGCCCGCCAATGTCCCTGAATGTGAAGATTCTAATGTAAGTCACGATTCCTATTTCTGGCGCTCCAGAAGTATATGCACCAAGATGGCGCATAACCTGAACCATAACCTGGTACACATACTATGTTCAGGTTGTGCACCATCTTAGTGCACATACTTCGGGAGCACCCTATCTCTATATCACATTAGGACAGGATTTACATATTTCACCTGTGGGAAAGGAAAAGGATAAGATGACTTAATCCTATGTCGAACCACAGCCTCTCGACCGGTTACCATTCCATGTCGGGTATGAAATTAGTTATTTGTTGTTTTCGAAAGCATGGACTTGATGGTGGAGAAAGCCGTAACCGACCAGCAGGTATGTGAACCACCCTACGGCGACGAGGAGTCCAGCAATCCTCTCGCACATAATCATCCTCGCATGCAATTCGAACCTGCAAACCCATGAAGGGTAATCAGAGATGCAGTGACGAGCGTATTCCTAACGCTTAGCAAGATGCGCCACACCGCCAAGCCTTAGCGTAATGTCGTTGATTTTTTCTATTCTGCTGCCGACAAACTAATATTTTTTCGCGGAAAGGCATTCAAAAAATTGTCGATGTTCTAACCTCACTATATAAGGCAGCTCTGGCAACAAATAAGAAAATTGAATTCATAAAAATGAATTCGTCACTACATTTTACAAGACTACTTATTTTATCAAAATTCTACAAGGTCATGATTTATATTAGGTACCGTATTCTACGGCCCATAAGGTGTACTGAGCTATAGTACGCACTGTCAATGAATTGATGGGGATTTTTCCATACATAAGGCGCATCGGGACTTCAAAACGCAACCGGTACTGGTACTGGTTTTGACCGTAGGCGATAGAGCAGGAGTCGGCAACCTACGGCCCGCGGCCCGGATCCGGCCCGCGGAGTATTATAATCCGGCCCGCGACGCTTCACTTCACTGACCAAACATCTGTTTTGACGATTATATTCTCTACGTAACAGAATTTATTGTAAGACACTAAATTATATTATAACCAAATAAGTATATAACTCACAATTACTCGCTTAATGAGCCTATAATTCAATTATAATTAGATAAATTGCAACAAAACGCAGAAAAGTTGATGCTGAGTGTAAAGGGTTGAAAATATTTAAATAGAATTTTTTGAGATGCAATGCATTGGGGAAATAAATCTATATTCTATTCGAGAGTTGTATCATTGCTTGATTTTCATTATAAAAAGTATCATCCGTTCGATTTTCAACTTTTAAAAATATGTGCGGCCCGCTAATGACTCGCAACCCTTAATTTTGGCCCGCGAGCGACACAAGGTTGTCGACCCCTGCAATAAAGCATCTGTACCTCAATGGACGGCAAACTGTGGGCCGAGCATTTTCTAGTGGGCCTCAAATAAATTTCATTTATGACAGTGATACACGAAAAAGTTCTATAAATCCAACATGGTGACCGTGCATTTGAACTCATGTGTATTTCCGCGAGTTCAATCTATATGCGGGTGCTAAAACCCATAGGTTAGGGTTAGTATGGGTTTAAATATCCGTAAAACAAAAAAAATTCCATAGGTGCAAATGTCGTGGGTTCAAATGTAGGGGAACCATCCAACATTACATTAAAATTTTTCGTCAAAGGGTTTTTGTTCATATATATATCAAACGATGATACATTACGTACATTTCAACTAAACAAATTAAATGTTCTTTAACAAGTTAAATGCGTGATTAAATCTAAAATTTCTAACGAAATTATTGTACCTTGATACGCGCACTGCTTTATATGACGCACGATTGATTTTTGAGGAAAAATGGATTTGAAAGTGCGACCTATGGTCCTATAATACGGTAACACCGATAATTTTCCCTTATAATTAGCGAAGGCCCATGGGTCGCCGCACCACTAACAATCAAATTTATACATGACAAACTATTTTTTACTATCTTACAGTGCATCTACTAATCGGACGTGGAGTAGAAGAAGACATTCGTGTCAACTCAACTTTCAATCATTGTTAATTAATTATTGATTAAAAATTAATTATGATTTTATGAAATAAATACATTTAATAAATGAAGACATTTCCGAATTTAAAGTTTTGTTCGGTGCGGAGGGCGACATAGATTCGGAGACTTTTGGAGTGGTATGGTCGCGGGATTTCTTAAACTGGGCCAGGAATAGATCCATCGCAGATATTCAAACTTGTGCGTTCAACTAATAAATCAGCTTAGCTGTGTGTATAGCTTCCCGTAGATATAAGTTTTAGTTGACTTGTCGATGTTACTACACCTTAGATTCATATACATGTCATGCAAACCTCATATCTTCACAGATGCTCGATAGCCAGTAGTTAACTTATACTGATTTCAGTTGAAAATTTGGACTTTATTAATGTGTTTTGCGATTGAGATCATTTCTAATTTGACTCTAACAATTGAAATTAAAACAAGATGGAGTTAAATACTCGCAATTGGACTGAATACGTAATACGACGACGTTACAATCGACGACGTGCAATCTGTCACTGTAGACTAGAGATATGCCCAAATATAAGGACACGAAAACCAAAATGAAGTAGTACGGATATTCAATCTGTCACAGTAGACTAGATATATGCCCAAATATAAGAACACGAAAACCAAAACGAGGTACCGGTAGCACGGGTATTCAATCTGTCACGGTAGACTAGATATATGCTCAAATATAAGAACACGAAAACCAAAACGAGGTACCGGTAGCACGGGTATTCAATCTGTCACAGTAGACTAGAGATATGCTCAAATATAAGGACACGAAAACCAAAACGAGGTACCGGTAGCACGGGTATTCAATCTGTCACAGTAGACTAGAGATATGCCCAAATATAAGAACACGAAAACCAAAACGAGGTACCGGTAGTACGGGTATTCAATCTGTCACAGTAGACTAGATATATGCTCAAATATAAGGACACGAAAACCAAAACGAGGTACCGGTAGTACGGATATTCAATCAGTCACAGTAGACTAGAGATATGCTCAAATATAAGGACACAAAAACCAAAACGAGGTACCGGTAGCACGGGTATTCAATCTGTCACTGTAGACTAGAGATATGCTCAAATATAAGGACACGAAAACCAAAACGAGGTACCGGTAGTACGGATATTCAATCTGTCACAGTAGACTAGAGATATGCTCAAATATAAGGACACGAAAACCAAAACGAGGTACCGGTAGTACGGATATTCAATCTGTCACAGTAGACTACCGGTACGGCAGTCTTGTCAACTATGCCTGGCCACTAACCCGAATATGGAACCGCCACAATGAGCGCAATTTTCAATTTTGATGACGTCTTCGCACACAAACAACAAATCCCATATCCCACTTTTTTGAAATAAATAAAAGTACCGTAGTAGCCTTCTAGCGAATAATACATTCTTCAACCAATAAAAATTTCAAAGCAATTGGCCCAGTATTTAATGAGAAAAGCAGTAATTTCCTTAGAATTTTTAAAGGCGCCTCAATGTTCAATGAAACGAGTTGTTTAGACTAGGGCTTCCCAAACTTTTGAGCTCGCGGCCCCTTTTAATATATATATTAAAATTTTCCGCGGCCCTTGTTTGCGTTAATAATGCTAAACAGCTCGAAATATGAATTTTTGATGTTTTATTGACACAGCTATATCTCAACTTTTAGTAGGCCTACTCAATCACAAGCACATATTTATGAAGATTAATGTTACTTAATTATTCAGTGTAATGGGTGCGAATACTTTTTGCTGCATAGCAAGTCCAACCTTGGCTCAATGTTTGTTATGCAGGCCTAAATGATGGATTACGATGTCTGGCCACCGACGACATGATACTTATCTGGAATTGTTCACTCTTATTGATCAAACTTAGCATAAGACAGCATTTGTGTGGCGCCAAATTATCATGAAAAAAACTCATGGCGCACCTATACGAAAAATATGCTGCCTGATAATAAAACACAATTTTGTCATCGTTAATATGTACTTATCTTATCTCTGCCTGGTTTTTCTCTAAGATGATAAAAAAATCACTCATGTTCACCAAATGAATAAACTGCAGCCTACGAAATTGCAGCATGTAGTATACCCGAAGTAACAGAGCGTATACATCATAGAACAGTAAAATGAATTTGATTTGTATATACATCATTGGCAACAAAAAGAAACAATGAAACATTCAGATTAAATAAAACATGTTATAAATTTTGAGGCGCACTTAGCAAATCGCCTTCGGGAACCGCTAGCTTAATTAACAATTATTAAAGCCGGCATTGTTATGCAAGCGCGGTGATTCTACTGTGTTTCCCCGAAAATAAAACCAAGCCTGAATTCTGAAAATTCGGTTTTCTGTAGATAAAGATTATTTTTCTTGGTTCAAAAAGCGTTGCGGATTCCTATCCCCTTTGGGATTTCGTTTTTATATAAAGCAGACTTTTCTACCAAGGCCCATTAAGTATGATTTCACTGACTGTCGTTAAGTTTTGTTTGTTCCTTCATATGAAATTCATTGCAAAAAAGCCTTTTATTGAAAGGTATCAATACGTATTTTCACGGGTAGTCGTAACTTGAGCATATTTTTGGAGGGCGTCACAATACGATGAAGTTCGAAAACCACTGAGTCCTAGTCGATAGAAAGAAATCTACTTTTCAAATGGTTAATAATCTATATGTAGCAGTTATTGGACACGTTTAGTGGCCATAACGATCGTTTCAAAATTTTGTTGTTATTGTTATTGTTATTTGTCTCCGTCTCCATTTTAAAAAAATCGCTTTTCTCTTCGAATACTGGACCAATTGCTTTGATATTTTCAGTGGTTAAAGATAAAAATTTTCTCCAGCCCTGGTTGAGACGATCAAGACCAATAAATTTCGCCTATTTTTTTATGTATTACTTTGAACTTTTGTAAATATTTATAAGCATGAGAACTGTTTCCAAATTAGACCACATATATTGCCAATTCTACCATGATAAAATGACAATTTTGAAAAATGAAATCACGAACAAGTTCCATTTCAATCATACGTTAAATTGGAAACACGATTATTGCTATACTATTCTAAATATCTGACGAAAATACAGACACTGAGTCTTAAAAACCTTATGCAGCGAAACGGGAAGAGTTACATTGTTTGTACACATAAAATGTTCTAACTTAAGATGACATAGTGAGCATTCCATTTTAAAGAAAGTGTTTCCAATTGGGGGGGGGGCTGGGGTAGATATTTTGCAATTCGCGATAAAACTATTTGTAACTGATTAAAATTTGTTATGCATTTGGCTGACCATCAGCTTTAATTGAAGTTATAGGGTGGGTGTTTCCCTATTACTGCAAAAGGGGGGTACTGACAGTGACCTTTGAATTATTGGGCCAGGTTTGGGTCTATGAATCGGTTTGGTAAATTAATCTCTTATACTTCGCCCATTCATACTATATGGTCTCACCACTCAAAGGTGCTGTATTTGCGCTTGAATTTTGATTTCATTGTTATGTATATGTTTATTTGGTGTTGTGTTGTCTCTATTTATATATATTGTCTTGTCTTATAAACTCCCCTGTATAAACAGTTTTGTATACTCCACCCTTACCACTTTAACTACACCAAACGACTCATTGCCCCACCTTGCTCAACTGTCTATATAAGGGACCATATTATATATATTTAATCTCAATGTTTTTTGTTTTATATTTGTTAAAAAGGGTTCATGCCGCACATTTGTGTGTTAGGCCAGTACGGTCTTGTGCATGCATCCCGTCTTAAATAATAATAATAATTGTTCATTTATTTATTTATCACTATTACGAGACGAATAAACATACATACAAATTATTGCTGTTGTTCTTCTCGTTGCTGTGAAAAAAGTGGTTTATCTTCGTAATCACTGATTTGAGATTTTTAGTTTTTTAAGGTTGAAATGTACTTTTATTTTCTCTCTGAGGTCTATGGGCGCGGATACTGACATTCCTCCCAAATTCGCGGGAACATCATAATTCATAACATTTATACATCAGACTGGAATCTGGCTGACACATGTTAGACTTTCGCTTGGTTTTGTTCATACCAGTAATAAATAAGAAAATCCTAAGTTTCTGGCATTCATCGTAGACCACCAACTGCGCACGTTGTCTGATCATGTCTTTAGTGCTGTGAGTTTCAGAATTTCGATTCGAAGCAATTCGGATCAACCTCAATTCGCAGCAATTTCAAAATAATAGCTTATTTAATAAAATATTAATCCAGATAACACGATACGATTGCGCGACCCAATGGAACAAAAAATAATTTTTGTGTGTTCAGTGCATCCATTGAACGTATTTTTTCACTAACCTTATTCATTCTTTAGTTCAATAACATTATTTAATCATTTTTATCTTGTAGTTATTCCAATTTTAACAAAAATAAATTGCTGTGTATGACACAAAAAAGTTTTTTTTTTACATTTCATTTAAGTTCAACATTGAAACGAAAATGATTTTCGATTCGAACATTGTCCATTGTGCGGACACCTTCATGAGTTCCTCGTGCTCCTGTCACACAATTAAAGGTATTTAACTTTTGATAGGATTGGATTTTCATATTTATCCCGGGGGAGAAGGGAAGTCGATAAGACGGCTTAACCATATGGCACACCCGGTTACCAGTTAAGTCGGGAATGGAGTTAGCCAGTTATTTGTTTCAGATGCATGGACTTGATGGTGGAGGAAGCCGTAACCGTCTACAGTGTAGAGGTGGGCAACATACGGCCCGCGGGCCGGATCCGGCCTGCGACGAGATTTTGACCGGCCCGCTGACTGTATCCAACCACACTTTGTAATGTGGTCCGACGCATCATTTATGAAAGTTGCCGATCGCTCTACTCTCACCGCACTGTCAGTGCAAGTTGGTAAAATAAACAATTACCTTAGTGAACAAAACAATTGCGTTATCACACTTGTTAAACAGGTCGAAGCAGAAAGCGTTGTAAACATTCCATAAACATAATCCATATCTACATAAACAGATTTATTATTTTGTCAACCAAAAACAAACAGTCATCAATACGAAAAAAATACATAACACGAATAAAATTGCTTTGGTATT